AAAAAAACCTGTTTCCTGGGTTTGGGTTTAGGTCCACTTTATCATACAGTACTTTCTTGTAAGGTAGCATTTTACATCTTGTTTAAAAAAAGAAAATCTTTTCATTTTGGAAGGCTTGCCAGACAAATAAATGTGAATTTATGTGATCATGGAATGACAAGGTTTTACTAATTCTCTGTATTTTTCAGAGTGCGCTATTACAGCCCGTGTTTGAAGTGACAACATTGACAAAAGATAATAAATTGCATCTATCTGCTCAAAACTATATAGGTCATTGCTGCACTTTCAAAAATTACTAGTCTACCGAGGACCTGAGACAATACCACAACATCATAAGGTGCCTCACAGTGTATTCTTACTTATTGGATGGATTTCACCTTCATGTTACACCCCGAATATGGGTGTAACATCACACATGGTCCGAAAAGTAAACTTAGACCTTAAAGTGACATTAAACCCTCAGATTTTTTAACATAAACCAATACTGTAATGTGTGCCTTACTGTAATCCATGGTTGTTTCCCTTCTCTTTGCTGCTCTTCCTTTTAAATCCTCATGTCTTCTCATGCTCTGCAGAACTTCCCTTTTCAGCTCAGGGCCTCTTCCTGTAGTGCTGACTTAGGTTTCAAGCCTATACAAACTAATACACAGACACCGTGTATCCATTCCTGAGACAAGGCAGTCTGCTGCAAAACAGAAGTTCTGCAGAGCATGAGAACCGATACAGATTTAAAAGGAAGAGCAGCAAAGAGAAGGGAAACAACTATGGATTACAGTAAGGCACACATTACAGTACTGTTTTATGTTAAAAAATCTGAGGGTTTAATGTCACTTTAAATTTCCATAAATGTATAAAATGTCTTCTTATTCTAGCAACATCTTTTTTTATATAAGTGAGACTGCTCCAGGAATATTCCATATCATGAAGGATCACAAATACATTTAAAAGAGAACGATGGGGTAATCTTTTTATCCCATAGTTCTCTACAGGGTCATGGGGGACATATACTAACCTCCTCCCGTGACCCAAACTCATGATATAGTGGGCTATTGCCCGCTACATACTGAGAGCGCCGCAGCCGGAACGGATTCCGACAATAATGTCCAGATCCACCCAGCTGGCTAATTGACAACGGGCTCTGCCTATCAGCTGACAGTCACGGCTCTCTGCAGGAGGTTGATCGGGAAGTGAGCGAGCGACGGTATGTGTTCACTCATTTCCTGATCTATAGAGTCAATGTGTGACAGTTTCAATGTCACAGGTCGGCTCTAACTATAAGGATGAGTGTAAATCACTCACTTCATAGTTCTCCTTTTAAGTTTCTCGACCAGCACACATTGAGTGTTGTGTTACAATTCTTGGAAAATGACCCTTTCATCCATCAGAACCAAAATGCCTCGCTTTACTGCATGAATGAGAATGATGCATTTACAAGTTGTAATATGCAAACACTTACATAAATATGTCAAAAAAGTGCTGCAAATAATGATGTGATCAGCAGAAAAATGTCTATGAGTCACACAATAAAATTCCCTTTTCAATATGTGACCTGGCAAGCGTTATTTATAAAAAATGTAATTTTATACAATTTAAATAAGCAAATATTTCTGCATCCAGCAGATTTCGGTAAAATAAAGGTTTCTATCAACAATTCTGTAGACATGTCCATTTCATGACCACCTTGTATTAACCCAGCTAAGGATATAACAACTGCTTGCATTGAAAGCTTCTTTCTTCAGGAACATTTGTGGTTTAGATAAGTCCTTATATGTGTAGAAAAGTCTGAAGTCTTTGCGTTCAAGTTCTTTAAACAAGCTGTACCAGAATCTCACAACGGTACTGTCATTTCCACTGACCTCAAATCCAGGCCAGTGAAGGTGGATCTCCACAACAAGCTGTCCTATCTGCTCCACAATACCTTCTAAAATGAGATTCTCCAAGATCTTCCACTCTGCACTCTCCATGTCTGCCTTCAGGATATCAATCTGGAAAACACATAACAATAACAAAGTGGAATCAGTTACATTTCTGTAGCTTTCATCACACTTATCACATTTCACAGAGAAGGTCATCAAAGAAGAGCGATTTATTTACATCAGGTAAATACTATTCATACATAGGTGCGAGATGATCTTTTGGAGCAGCATTCTCATAGATAGGAAGTACATACACACCACCAAGGCAGATTTATGTGTCTGAAACTTGCCTTGGACTATGCTTGCAGATCCGACTGCCATCCAGTGCTTATGGGTCCACGCTATTCCCAGACAAAAGACAGTGCTCATCAGACTTGAGGCAGATCTCTTAGACAAAGTATCTTTTGTGTGAAGGATCATTTAATAAACACTGACTATTTCTTCTACAGAAAATATATAAACTAAAGAATACACATGTCAGATCATTTTAAAACGATGTTTCTATACACAGGAAATGCACAAGCATCTCCATATAAGTGCTCATTTACCTTACTTCCAGTTACACATACCATTTTTTTTTGCAATCCTTAATATTTATAGAAAACGTTGAGTTTTGTTTGACCAGAGGGGGAATAAAATGTCAGACTTTTTGTTTGCCACTGGGCAACTTACAACACATTTACTTCTTTCTTTCGTGTTCTGACACTCCTACCAGACAATGCAACTCCCTCAAAATGAGTGCCTGAGATGTAAATTGGATGAAATCTGGATGAAATTTGTGCAGATGCTTGAGTGCAATGACCCATTGGTAGCGTTTGCACACCAGGAACAGCTGACTACAGGTACAGGTAACGTATGCAAGGTCAGAACACAGGCCAGGGTCAATAACTTCCTATTGGAGCAGAGCAAAAACAATAACCAAAATTTAGGTCAGTCACAAACTGAGGTTATACACAGAAGAGAGGATCACAGAACCGAGGCACCAAGTCAGTAAACAAAAGCAGGGTCTTTGTTACAAGACAAAGATATATTCCAGAAGCGAGCTGAAGACCAGTCAGTAATTAGCACAGGGCTCATGCCGGTTTAAATATGCAGTCTGGCGCCAACAAGCACGCTAATGTGTGCCCGCCTGTATGCGAGCACACAAACGCTTACCTCCTGCAATCTCAGCCAGCCCTTACTTCCCCATAATCACCCAATTTTCCCTTTCTCCAATATCAGCCAGCCACCCCACTACCCAGGATGCCCCAATACCTGTTCTCACCACCCAACATGCCTGCATTACTCTTCTATCACCACCCACCTCTCCTGCACCTCCCCCTTCTCTCAAACCAACCACTACAAAAACCACACACAGCCCCTGAATCCCCCTCCCGTAGCACTCACTGCGCAAACCACCATGCCTGCAACCCATTCTCACAGCACTCACCACATCTGCTCCCCCCTATCTGAGCACCCAACGTACCTGCCCCCCTTCTGTCTGCACCCACTGCACTCCCATTCTTTCACCACCTGCTGTGTCAGCACCCATCTCATGCCTGCAGCTCCTCCTACAGCACCTAGCAGCCTAGACACATTAGCCCCCCAACTCACACCGAATGCGTGCAGCACAACACCAACATGCCTACAGGCTCTCCCCAAATAACCCTGATCCTCCACTCCACCCTCGTGCTCTTAAACTGCACCTGCAGGCCCTACTTTCCCCTTTCACCATCATGTCTACATCCCCCTTCTCTAACCACCATACCTGTATCCCTCACTCACATTTGCATCTTCTCTCTGCTCACACTCCATGCCTGCACAAAGTACAGGCCAAACTCTCATCAATGCACCTCCTGCACCACCACTGCCACCACTTTCCACTTCACCTGTATAGTATCTCTTATCCAACATTTGCATGAACTGCCACCCAAACCCCCCCGCACATTACAATACATGCCCTTAAATCCCCTTCCCACTTCCACAGCTGTGCCTCTCCCCTTCACCGCCACGCCTATAACCACTCTCTCCCCTAGCCTGTGCACAATTTCCCCCATACTCACTCCATATCTGCCCCTGTACCCCATGCCTGCAGGAAGTGCATGCCACCTTGATATCCAGTGCCCCCAACCCTCATCCTCACTTCTGCTCTGAACACTGTGCCTACAACCTCCCTCCTACCACACTGCTCATCCCACAGCCTTGTGCACTCTTGCTAGTGTTTAGATGAGAAGGATTGTTTGAGCTGTCTTTCTTAGACAAATGCATTTTCTGCTTGAAATCACATAATTCTGATGAAAACTATGGAAAAAAACAAATCTTTGGACCCAGAACAGAACTTAATCCTGAAAAAAAAAAAAAGATTTCCCTACATCAGTTTTAAACTGTAGAGCCCGTCACTATGTGTATGGTGCCGAAGCTAGCCGAAGGATCGGCCGAAGCTACGGCCAGATCCTTCGGCAGCTTTGTGAATAGACCCCTAAGTGACACTTACAGTATATATCATCCACAAGTCTGCCAGTTAGTACTTCACAGTATGCAATTCTTGTGTGATCATCACCAATGTTCCCTGAATGATATGGGTGTCTGTTGGATGGCCACATCTCACATCACAAAACTTGTGGTGCTAAGAAAGAGGTAATGTCTAACCTCATTGTTTCATTACAAACAAAGCAGTAGGAAAGTCAAAAACTCTGGTGTCTATTGAACTGCCCAGACATAATAAAACACACTGCAACTCCCTCCAGTTTATATTGCAGTCATTTTCGGCAGTGTTGTGGTGTGACAGACAGCATGCTATGTTCTCACAAGCAAGCTATCCATACAGATTAGCCATCCAACATGCTGCCCACACACTACATCTAAAATGTCACAGCAGTTTGGTTGGTTTGATTTTTATAGCAATAGATCTCCTATTTTCCACTGCTGTGACATCTACCCAGTTTTATTCCAATAATTGTTCCAACATTCATGTCAGGGTAAAAATTATTCCTTTTTTATGAAGAAAAGTAAAACTATAGTGTTTAAATATATACAATATTTTGTATTATCTTATTAATCATGTAAATATAAAATGTTGTATAAGAATATTCTTGTTTACCATTTGCAACCTGGAGGTACAATTTAAGAGCAGGGGCTTCCATATGCTTTTCTTTGCAACTGGTATGCTAAAAATTGCCCTGAATATCAGACACATTGTTCTTTCTCCCAGCAGAGAGTGGAACCTCTTAAATAAGACAGGCTAAGGAGGCTGACAAAAAGCATGTTAGCAGTGCTGGGCTTACCCTTTAATAAGCCCAGTATGCTTTTTAGACTGAGTTAAATGGATGCAGCCATGTTAATTTGGAAAATAAATACTTTATACAAACAATAAATAATCAGTTTATACATTTACTAATTAAAAAAAGACCAACATTCAATATACTGTAGCTTTTAACAACAGCAAGGATTTTCCAGCATCACAATTCTTTTTTCACTCACAAATGATTCCTTGCAAGCAGTGGCGACTCTAGGAACAATATATAGGGGGGGCACATAAGATACCACAGTCAAAATGGGGGGGCACTAATAATTTTCACCATTAAATCATACCACTGAAAATAACTAAACAGGGGCGTAACTAGAAATCACAGGGCCCCATAGCAAAGTTGT